CCACCACGGGTATCGAAACCCGGATTCTAGCGTTGTAAGTTCGCAGACAAACCGCTGTGCCACTGGGGGGCAATTGGTCCTTGTAAGCAGACGATAACGCTAATCACCCTAGTTCAATCTGTGATGTTCGAAAGAAAATCAACACATTATTTCTTCAATCCCCCAGACACAATTTTCATCTTTGATTTTTTTTAAAGTAAAATTACTGCTCCCCCCCCCAAGTGGCACAGCGGTATATCTGCGGACTTACAATGCTAGAATCCGGGTTTCGAAACCCGTGGTGGGCAGAGCACAGATAGCCCATTGTGTAGCTTTGTGCTTAACTTCAAACAAAACAAACAAAAGTAAAAATACTAAAGCGAGAATAAACAAGGCATGAAATAAAAATTATAACATCCAGAAAAAATTGTCGGTATAATTCAAGGATCACACATTTTTAGATTACGATTTTGACCGGTGCTTAATGAAGAACTTTCTTCGTTTTATTGAATTTCGCGCGAAACTATCGCTCCCTAATTCTAAAGTAAACCACCCACCGCTACCTCTTGGCATACTCTTTACAAACGAATAGTATGATTAATCCCCACATTGTAGCCCCCCCCCCCTCCTGTTTAGATCCTGCGACCTGCAGTTTACAAGTCTAACGATCTAGGGCCCGGCATGGCCAGGTGGTTAGGGAGCTCGACTCGCAATCTGAGGGTCGCGGGTTCGAATCCCCGTCACACCAAACATGCTCGCCCTTTCAGCCGTGGGGGCGTTATAATGTGACGGTCAATCCCACTATTCGTTGATAAAAGAGTAGCCCAAGAGTTGGCGGTGGGTGGTGATGACTAGCTACCTTCCCTCTAGTCTTACACTGCTAAATTAGGGACGGCTTGCGCAGATAGCCCTCGTGTAGCTTTGCGCGAAATTCAAAACAAACAAACAAACTAACTAACGCTCAAAGTACCATCCGATGCCAGCCCATTATGAAGAAATACGTTGGAAAGCAGATTAACTCCAAAGTGGTGATAACTTTAACAGTTTTGGGACAACTTCTCAGGGCTTACTCAAGTTTCACACCGCCTCCGAATCCAATCACAAATGCTGCTATTGTTACTGTATTAATTTTGACAACCCGATTAGACTGAGAACGTAACTAACTCGCAAGCAGAAGAAGAGCCACCAGAGGCCGGAGATTAAAATGACTTCCCCCCGTCAAGGTCCGCCCTTCAGCTGCGTAATCTGTACGTATGGCAATAATGGAGCTCAGTCTCTCGTTCGCTTCAATCTGCGTCGCTGCTCTTTTCACTCTTCAAGCAAACGCACGTGCGTTGCCCATCGCTGCCAAACGAAAATATTTATCTTAATCGCACGCTGAGACTTGGTGGCGTTGTTAAGCAAGCCATTGTCATAGATATCGTTAGCTTTCGTGGCACAAGCAGGTGAAAGAAGACGAAGCCCGATAGCGACGAGTCTTGATCTCCGGTAAAGCATTTAGGTTCAACAAAAGTAAGAAATGGAAGGTAACAGTTCCAGTGATACTACGAGAAACTCTGCTCTCTGGACAGCGGGGAATTCTTCGAAGAGAGAACTCTATCGAATTGTCGTGCCGCTCATGCTGACGATGTGTTTAGTTTCGATGGTCTTTAATGTAGTTATTGTGAGCTCTGTAAAATGGGTTCGCAGGACTGTTTCCCCCACGTTGTGTTTCAGCCTGAGCCTAGCTGCTGCGGATGCTTACGCTTCTCTGATTCTCGGGCTTGGTTTAGTAGTGAATAGCCTACTCCCTGAAGTGTACGGTACTCGGATTCGGACGCGTTGCCTAGCCCTTATTCTGGAAGCATTTCGGTTAGGCGGACTGTCGGTATCCGTCTACCACCTGCTAGCTTTGACCTTAAACCACTACGTGGGAATAGTACGTCCTCTCCACTACGCTGCAACCGTAACGCGACGAACGGTCGCGGCGACCGTGACGGGTATCTGGATGGGATCTTTGTGTTTCTTCTTCTTGTATTTTTCTTCGGTGCACAATCAAGGTTTTCAGTCTCCCTATTGCGGTGTAAACGAATTCTACCAACTCTCGACGTTCAGAATAATTGTATCGACGTTTTTCTTTCTGCCCATGGTCTCCATGACAGCTGTCTATTGCCACATCTTTTTTGTGGTTCGTCAACACCAGCAGAGACATCTGCAGGTGCCCTCGTCTCGACAGCTCCACCGAAGCGTGAAGGCGGTGGTCACTACGCTCCTGATCCTAGGGACCTACCTCCTGTGTTGGATGCCTGCAGTTCTCTTCTTTGCTGTCAGTTGCCTAGACTGTGTAGCTCCTTACACACAAATACCAGAAACCGTTCTCCTTCCAGTCGGAATCGTCACAAACAGTCTGATTATTCTCAAGTCTTTGGTAAACCCCATAATCTACGCAGCTCGTATGCCAGAAATTCGAGAAGCTCTCCACGCTATGGTTCCTACAAACTGCGAGGTACGACCACTACGCGTAATGGCCAGACAGCGAACTTTGCTAAGAAGAGCTAGCACCTTTTCAACCAGCACGAGGATGGCGTCCTTCCGGTGTTCTACTCACAACCAGCACCACATATCGCGATGTGACGAAAGCTATACTTAAATGGTAGATCCCCCAAGAAAAAAAACTTATTCAGTATAAATCAAATGAAACATTTACTGGGCGTTTCATGCACGTAAATATTAGAAGGTTTTTTAATCATTATTATTGTTTTACAAAGGAATAAAAGTAGTGACTGTTTGAAATAGTTTATAATAAATATCGAAGTAAAAAATAATAATTGATGGGTGTGGATAGTTAAATTAATCTAGCCACGAATAAGAAGAAAAAAACGTTAGTTATAGATTGAAGTAAAAAAAAGGACATGGTTGACTTCCTGAAATGTTAGCTACATGTCTTTCTCTTACAGTCATTTCTATTTTTCTCTTTTCCTGACAACGTGGACTTGCACGAGTACGAGACAGTTTACCAATACGTAATTACAATTGATTAATATCAAGTAAACAATAATACTAAACGTTCGTCTTTCGATGATAAATATGTAAAAAAAAGAAAGACTGTCAAACGTTAGTGAATAAATAATCACACGAGAAAGGTGTTTTACGTTTCAAACAATTTCTATTTTGATCGAATAATATTGGAGAAAATATGGTTGTTTTCCCCAGAAACTGAAATATCAAAATGACAAAGATAGATAGAATTTGAGATGGAGACGTTACGATGTTGCAACAAACACACTTCAGGTAGATATACAAACTTTACGATGTTGCAACAAACACACTTCTGGTAGATATAGAAACGTTAAGATGATACAACAAACACACTTCTGGTAGATATAGAAACGTTAAGATGATACAACAAACACACTTCAGGTAGATATAAAAACGTTACGATGATACAACAAACACATTTCAGATAGATATAGAAACGTTAAGATGATACAACAAACACACTTCAGGTAGATATAGAAACGTTACGATGATACAACAAACACACTTCAGGTAGATATAGAAACGTTACGATGATACAACAAACACACTTCAGGTAGATATAGAAACGTTACGATGATACAACAAACACACTTCAGGTAGATATAGAAACGTTACGATGATATAACAAACACACTTCAGGTAGATATAGAAACGTTACGATGATACAACAAACACACTTCAAGTATATATAAAAACGTTATGATGTTGCAACATACACACTTTAGACAGATATAGAAACGTTACGAGGTTGCAACAAACATAATTCAGGTAGAGAACTTATGATGTGACAAAAAGCACACTAGATATAGAAACGTTACGATGATGCAACATACACACTTTAGACAGATATAGAAACGTTACGAGGTTGCAACAGACACACTTCAGGCAGATATAGAAACGTTACGAGGTTGCAACAAACATAATTCAGGTAGAGAACTTATGATGTGACAAAAAGCACACTAGATATATAAACGTTACGATGATGAAGAAGGAACACTAAATGCAGAGTAGTTATAATAATGCAGGAAAAACGCTTTAAGAAGGGAAATTACAATGATACAACAAACATATTACAGATACAGTAATATAAGTAACCCAATGGTTGTCCTATTTTGTTTTGATAAGGTAGATAAGTGGATGTATAAGTGTAGTGAAAAGTTTTTGTATTATTTAATACCCCCACCCAGTGGCACAGCGGTATGTCTGCGGACTTACAACGCTAGAATCCGGGTTTCGATACCCGTGGTGGGCAGAGCACAGATAGCCCATCGTATAGCTTTGTGCTTAATTACAAACAAACAAACAATTATTTAATAGATCTCGCAATAGAATGTGAAGATGGTATTGTTTGTGTGTTCCGTAAGTAAGTTATACCCTATTATTTATTCATTGTTATTTTAATTAACAGTAATTGTTAGATTGTTCAATATATCTAATTGTATTGCCTTTCAATTTTAATACTAGAAATAAACGCCCTTAACACCAAAATGTTGTTTTTATTTAATTAGAAACTCAACATTTCGCTTTACAGCTTCTTTTTTGAAGCTTTGTACTGTCAGTTTCGGTTTATGTTTTAGTGAAGAAGCTGTAAGGTGAAACGTTGAGTTTCTAATTCAATAAAAACGACAGTTTGGTGTTATAAGATCATTTATTTTTAGTATTAATATGTCTTCTATACCCCAATATGCACTGCAGAAATTGAATAATGCCTTTTAATTTTATTTTTTATTATTATACTGTTTATTATACAGATTTTTTTTTGCATAGCTAGCTTAATATATGTATTTACAATAAATCTAAATCTATGCTGGCAAAAACTCGTAAGACGTTATTGGGATTACAGCCAAAAATATCATTAACAGCAAGAGTACCTACGTTATGAAACAATGCATTCTAAACTTTATGAATAAGGATATCATTAACAGCAAGAGTACCTACGTTATGAAACAATGCATTCTAATCTTTATGAATAAGGATATCATTAACAGCAAGAGTACCTACGTTATGAAACAATGCATTCTAAACTTTATGAATAAGGACGTAAGAAACGTATATTTAATTAGCTGTTCTCGTTACTGTGCTTGTTTTGATCTGAAGTTAAGGTTATTCCTGCCATTAAAAGTATCATGAACTGTGACGGGGGTGGGGGGAGGAAGATTTCTTCTAAACCTTTGATTCGAAAATGAATGAAAATTTATTTAACAATTTAAAGAGGGCCAAAGGGTTTTCGAGAACGTTATTTCTACAGTTGAATATTTCTGCATTACATAAAAAATATTCCTCATTTATAATATATTATGTTGATCTTATTAATATTGTACAGGACTGTGTCTGTCCAATAGAATCATTAGGACCAAGTTGTGTAAACCATGTGATTGATCCAAAAAGTAGCATTTTTGTTTGTCATTGGGATTATTTTCTTTCGAATGAAAGACTGTAATATGACGATAAATTTCTTTTCACAGACAAACACGCCATGGGAAGACTTTGTTTTAAGTTAATCAATTTGAAATAATCTCTTACAAATGTAATTAATTTTTAATTATTGATCTCAGATTTAATCGATTGAAAATTAAAACACTTAACAGTCAAGTTATCTGTTTCCTATCATTTTAAAGTTTTATTTTAGTGATAAATAGTTTTAGAACAATGCTTTTGCGTTAAGTAGTATTATAAGTTATACTTTTCTAAGTTGTATAATACTATGTTAATTTATTGTATTGTAAAGTACCGCAAAACCTTGCTCTGTTGTAACGTACCGCAAAACCTTGCTCTGTTGTAACGTACCACGATACCTTGCTCTGTTGTAACGTACCACGATACCTTGCTCTGTACCACGATACCTTGCTCTGTACCACGATACCTTGCTCTGTTGTAACGTACCGCAAAACCTTGCTCTGTTGTAATGTACCACGATACCTTGCTCTGTTGTAACGTACCACGATACCTTGCATCTGTTGTAACGTACCACGATACCTTGCACTGTTGTAACGTACCCCGATACCTT